TGTAAAGTGCTTTCTTTAAGTGAAGCAATGAAAGTACAATAAGGTATTAAGAGAGAGGGAGAGACCATATTCACATAAGTTTTAGTACAGTGTATTGTTGTAATTTTTCTAATTTATTATTAGTTATTATTGTTAATCTTTCATTGTGCCTAGTTTATAAATTAAACTATCATTTGTATGAAAAAAGTGGTATACATAGGGTTTGATATGATCTATAGTTTGAGGCATCAACTGGGGGTCTTGGAATATATTACCCATGAATAATAAGGTGGGGGACTACTTCATAAAAATTTAGTGTATGATCTCTGTTTTCAATAGGCTTATAGCATTGCAATTTACTTTTTCAGTTTTTTTCCCCCTGTATCTCTTATGTTATATAAGAGACTAGGTGATGGGGAAATGATTTTTTTAAAATCAAATTTCAAGTGAACTTTCCTAGAATACACTAATGTACAAGTACATCCTAAAATGTAGGCCAGTATAATGTTCTTTTTAACTTATTAAGGTTAAGCTAAGCAGGATGTCTTCCCTTTATGATATTATATTTTAAGAGTTCACAGTTAGAGATTTAGATCTCAGAGTGCATTTTCATTCTGGAAGAAAGAGTGCTTCTTAACAAAAAAAAAAAAAAAAAAGTCAACTGTGTGGTTATATGAAAATTCAGTGCTATCAAATAGATCTTATTGCATTATTGATGACTATCTTCTGTGAACTGATAGCATGAATGTTTCTAAATATTTGAATATTTGGTGTCTGGTTGAAAAAGAATATATGGGAAGAATGATATTTCTCAATTTTTAGCTAGATTAGTTGGCATCTTGGAGACAATTCTTTTATTATCATTCTTATTACTCAGAATGAGAATTTTAGGGCTCTGATTTTTATAAAAATTGATTAAACCATACTGCTTTGTTTTTTTAAGAGTCTGTCTGCCAGAACAGTCTTTCTTTGTCCAAAATATGCAATGTATTCCTTAAGAGTACTTGAATTTCAGAGGAAATGGTAAATATCTCAATCCCATCTTTTCTTTAAATTGGTCTCTGTCACGTACAGGTATCCCTGGTTCCATACAACCCACATATTCTATTTTATTAAATTCTTATTCATTAGGTCCTATTAAATTTTATTCTGTTGTTTTATTTGTTCTATTAATATGCTATTTTAAAGAAATATGAGCTATGTAAAAAAATAAAAAAATCCAAAACCCATTTTACATTCTTGTAGCAAAAAAAAAAAAACTGCTCAGCTCGTGTAGCCCTGTGGTAGAGGCTGGCCTCGTATACACAAGGTCTGGGTTCCAATCCCAGCACAGAAAAACAAATAGAAAATCACTAGAGTAAGTTAAGATTATTTGAAATATCTATTCTAGTATAAGTGCTCATCTGAAAAAAAAAAACAAGAGTATCTTTTTAATTGAATTTTAACCTATTTTTGAAGTCTGTTCAATTTAATTTGTTATAGAGGACTGAGTAAAGGAAAAGGAAAGTAGCACACTCTTACTTATGAGAATGGAGATAGGTGAATTATGATAAAACTTAGTGGACCCTCAAAAGACTTTTAAAACATATGCAACTGTAAATTATCCTTGGTGTATATATAATTTTGTGTGTGTGTGCTGGGGATCAAACCCCAAGGCTTTATGCCAGCTAGGCAACCATTCTACCACTGACCTATAGTTGAAATTTTTTTAAAAAAAGAATAAGTGCTTAGGGGTTGGGGCGTGGCAGAGCACTTTCCAGCTCACACAAAGGCTCAGGGTTCAATCCTTAGCGCTGGGGTTAGGAGGGGCATCATGAAGAATGGGTGCTTAATGTGACATAGTGACACGGATAGACATTGGAAAGAGGGGTTCTTTCTTCTTTTTGCACTTTATTGTAATTGCCTATTTATTTATCTGACCTCCCCATTACTCTAAGGAGTAAGATATAATTAATGATTTTCAAATGTAGTTGCACATTGGAATCACCTAAGAAACTTTTGAAAAATACAATGCCTGATTTAATTGGCCTACAGGAGGGAGACTACACATTAGTATTATTTAAAAGCTATCATTGTAATTCTTTTTTTTATTTAAATTTTTATTTTTTAGTTGTTGATAGACCTTAATTTTTTAATTTATAGATGTTGTTGAGAATTGAACCCAGTGCCTCACATATGCTAGGCAAGTGCACTACCCCTTAGCCCCAGCCCCAGCCCCTATCATTGTAATTCTAATATGAAACTTGGGTTGAGAATCAATGGTGTAAGGTTGTCAGTTACTAGCACAAGGTCTGGCATATAGTAATTGTTTGATAAATATTACTTGGATGTTTGAATGAAACTATGAATGTTTTCTTTGTGAAACAAATATAAATATATGGTTCAGATTTTTACCTTTATAGTATACTTTCTTTTGTTGAAGAATGTATAAAATAATTCAAATCCTATGGATGAACAACATGCATATTTATGCTGCCTTAGATTGCAGTATTTAGTTATCAACTTAAAAAATAGATATTTGGAATATTCATTGCAAACATATAAGTGTGTTTTGGTTAATCTTTCACATTGTTTTCTCTAGCAAATTGATAAACTTTCATACTATGGAAATATAATATTTTATGCTATGCCAAATACCATTCTTAATCTGCTATCAATGCCAAGTTTAAGGTAGAGCAGAAAAGTGTGTCTGTTAGCTTATAATTGTGTTAAAGCATATATTCTACTTATGTGTATTCAAATATAATATTTTTTATACTGCTATCATGCAAATTTAAATTTTTTCTTTTTCTATAAATCTGTTCTTTCAACACACATTTCTAGTCATGTTGTGGACATGGTGTGTACAGTGGGTAGTGCAAATGCTTATTATATGCACTTCACTTATGAAGACATATTTTGTATGAGGGTCAAAGAAGAGAATTTGTCCATGGATTCTTTTGTCTTGAATAACTCTCCACTAGATCAATATCTCCTTAAAGCTCCCAAATAATGAACCTTCTGCTAAGGATTGATTAAGAGTTGGGGATGAATCTCACTTCCTGTGTTAGCAGTACAACTTGAACATTTTCAATGTTTCTATGTTGTTTGGGACAGTCTTCGATAAATGAACAACAGGAAAGGAATTGTATGAATCTGGGTTATATGCTATATATTCTTTGATAAGGTTAAATTTTCAGATTGACTTTTATATTTTTTATTTTCTTTGCATAGCTAGAAATATATAGGAACTGGAACTCTTAACTCTCAACTGCCATTGTAGAGGAGTCCACTGCATTCATCTGTAATGCTTATTTAATTTATGAAATGAATGAGTGATAGGAAACTGTCCAAAGACTGGCATGGTAGAAAAACACACATCAGCCTCAAAACTGAGCAGCTAGGTAAAAGATTTAAGGGTACAACAGATGGGGATCTTCAAGTAGGATTATGGACCCACACTACCTGGGGATCTTTTTAAAAGACATTGTATAAATTCAGATTTCCTGATACAGAATCTTGGAGGTGGTTGTAGAGGAAGAAATAATGGAAAGGAATACTAGTAATCTGTAATTTTTTAATTTTTCAGTTCTCAATGGACCTTTACTTATCTATCTATCTGTCTATTTATTTATTTATATGCAGTGCTGAGATTCGAACCCAGTGCCTCACACATTCTAGGTAAGCCCTCTACTGAGCTACAACCCCAGCCCAGTAATTTGTATTTTTAATAAATCCTCCCCAGCCCAGTAATTTGTATTTTTAATAAATCCTCCCTTTCCTTCCAATGGGGTTTGTCATGCAACCAGTTAGGCAAATGTGTCTTGTCAAGCATTTTGGAACCACTGATATAAGAGAACGTAGAGTGGACAAGGAGTCAAGAAATTCAGTTTCTAGTGCTCACTTTGGCAGCACATATACGAAAATTGGAACGATACAGAGAAGATTAGCATGACCCCTGCACAAGGATGATGCACAAATCCATGAAGCATATATTTTGCACAAATGGTGTGACTCTACTTCATGTACACCCAGAGAAGTGAATAATTCCACTACATTTGTGTACAATGAATCAAAGAGCTTTCTACTGTCGTGTATAACTAATTAGGATTCATAAAAAAAAATTCAGGTTCTAGTCATAGCCCTTTTACTAATTTATCTGGAATAATTTACTTATCCTTGACAAATTTCAATCTCCTTGGTGAGAGGCCTCATTTTTAGGTAGTTTCTCTAGTGATTTATAAGGCTCTTTTGTGCCAAATTTATTTGGATTCTGTTAGTTTTATCTTTCGTGAATTCCTGAAGCAAACCTCTAATACAGGAGTGAATTCACAATAAAATGATTAAAGAGAGAATGAATGAAGCTGCATGAATATTCCACAAACAAAAACTCCTAGCTCAGGATTGAACTATGTACTGCACCAGAAGTTTGTGCATGTGCATACAAGTCTTTCTTTACATGTGTCCATCAACTGGGTCCATTATTGGTCAACAAATTAGAAAAACCTGTGAAAATCACACATGGGTTTTTATCGTTTCAAAAAAAGTATGTTACCTCCAAAAGATAGCTACCCTAAAACATTAGCACAAAAATTTTGCAAAAACACAATTTATTTCCTTGCCAGTTTTATCAAGCACATGATGTCATCCTTCTTATCAGAGGATAGAAGTGTCTGTGTCAGCAAAACCTAATAATTTCCTAATCATTGACTATAGTCATTACACAAATATGCTATGTATATGCCTATTCTATAATTCTATATGAAATAGCACATAATCATAGCGTCTTTACAAAGGAGAGGCTCAAGAAATGTTTGTTGGAATAGTAAAATAAGCAAGGAAAGAAAGGAAGAACGAGGGATAGAGTACAGTGGGGCTAATGATGAGGATGATGTTTTCTATTATTGGATATCACACAATCCACAGTAGCTTATTAATCTTCCATAGGAAATATATTGAGCATGTAGACCTCCCATGGAGGTGTTAAAACAAGATATCGAGTAGGAGGACTTTCAGAATTGATTCTGAAAGGAATTGCTCACCTTCTTTTAAGCAGAGGCTTTCATTGACCACTTTCCCCTCCTTGTTGACGATTATTTTCATCCAGCTATGGAGGTATTTCCTGCCTTTCTTGACCACTACTTTGGGGCCTTGTTTCTTGAGAAAGAAGGAGGTATTTTCGACCTCCAGGAACCCTTCCTGCTCGTAGCAGGTCCATCGGGGTGCCTGGGAGCAGGGGGTGAGGACAGCTGCACGGGAAGGGCCACCGGAGGAGTTGGAGATGCCCAGGCACAGTGCAGATCCAACATGGAGGAGGTTTCCATCCTCAGCCCACAGCCACTGCTGGTTCTGGCTGGTACCATTGCAGGCTCCCACGATCACTCTCTGATTTACGAAAAGGCACTGATGTTTCTGGACATGGACAATCTGAAACCCCTCTGGAAGATGAAAAGCTTATAAAGTGCTGTATAGCAAGTTATAAGACCTATTTAAAAATCAAAAAAACCACCCACCCACCAATGTAAAAATACTAGGTTTATTTATATTTTGCTATTTCTACCATTTCAAGTGAATATTCCTAGAGTCAGCACATGTGATTTAAAATCCCAAGGCTAATAAATACATAAATTAATTCAACTAAAAGTTAAAAGTCGGATGATCAAAAATGTCAAAATGTTATACTTAGCAACCACCTCTCCCCTTTTGAAGCTTTCACATGGTGTGAGGGAGAAAACACATACCTTATAACAAAAATGAAAGGAAACTTGGAAAAGAAACAAAACCATCCAGAGAATACTGTTTTTCTTTGGATAAGGAAGGACACATCCAAAGAAAGTGGTGTCTCATGATGTGAGCCCAATTAGTTAAATATGCTACAGTTATATAAAGCTCGGTTCCTTTTTAAATCAGTTAACTCCATATCACCTCTTTCACTCTAAAAAAATAAATCACCTTTTCAATCCTTGAACTCACATTGTAATAAGTATTTGTACACAAATTGCTTAGTTTGCATAAAAATTTTAAAAATTGCACATATTTACCAAAAGATAAATATAAAACTATATTTTCCATCCAAGGACAATCTCCTAGCTGATAGCAACCAATGAAAGCATCAATTATCACAAACTGAGTTTCCATTACTCCTGGAGAGAAGCTACTATTTTGTGATAATGCCTACAAATTTTCCTTAAATGCTAACAGGTTTAAGAACAACAACAACAACAACAAAAACCCTCAGCATTTCTTGATGTAAGAAAATTAAATACCCACTTGTTAAACATTCACATTAAAAAGTAAGCTATTCAGGCTCAGAAGCGTTTTTAATGAGTTTTTACTTAAATTGCCCACTTCTCCCATGAAAATATTCAGCCCTTCCAAATGACAACTTCTAGATAAAATACATCTCCTCACCCCCTTCAATCATATTCCTTCATATTTTCTTCCTTTATTATGAAAAAAAAAATCAGAACTTTAACCTGATTGGAAAAGGGCATGGGGGTGCTACAGCCTGTTACATAACAGTAAAGACATCTCCTCAGGGTGCTGTTCTCTCCCCTGTCAAGATGCCCTGCGAGGGGCTGAGCTGCCCAGGGCATCTGGAGGACCTGAGGAGACGTTTATGTTCTTTGTGGGAGAATTCTCAGCAGGGTGGGCACAGTTCCCTCCTCACTGTCTCTGGCTCCACTCTCCTGGAGACCTGGTTTCATTTCTGCCTTACTTCAGCCACTTTTCAAAGGCCACGGGGACTCCTCTGTTAGATCTGGGAGAAATGCCTCAGGATACTGAGGCAGACCCACTCACCCGAGCTCCCGAAGATCAGGCTGGTAAGAATCGCCAGGTAAAATTCAGCCTCCATTTTCCACTTAACAACTCTTCATGCTTCGCTTGGGGGGAAAAAAAATTCTCCCAGATAAGAGAAGCAAAGACTAGGAAGGAAACGTGCCTTCATGGTGAGGGGAAAAGTCAGTGACGAGCACTTCCTCCAATTGAATTGTTTGGGGAAGTTTTACACCAGTGTCCTTTTGTCTGTTTCCTTAGAAAGGAGGGATTATGATCACCTCTCTCTTTTTTAAATGTAGATCTAGCCTCCAGGAGCAGAATATATCTCCTTAAGTCTTCACCTACGGTCCCTTTGGCACATGACTACTTCTTAACCTCAAGAGGGAAGAAAAGGAATTGTGATTGTAGGTAATTGAGTGCCTTTGCAACATTACATCTTTTCAGGTGATGCGATTCTGTTGAATATACATAAACCATGTAATTTACGAGGGTCCACGACAAGTAATATAAAGACATAAACATGTACTGTTTGTATAATGATATGCTGGGAGTCGATGAGGAAAACCACATAATGATGGCACTTCTGGATCATTATCTCTCAAGTGATGACAATATTCCATTTCAAGAGAGTCATCTCCACTGGGGAGATGCAGAGACTAAATTTAAACTCATCACATTATCTACTTCAGGCTTCCCCTACCAGATAATGGCCTTTCTCCCAGTAGAGAAAAAAAAAATAAAATAAAAAGAATATACTTTACTCAATATTTAGTATTAAGAGTAGTTTATTGGCAGTATGAAACAAAGTCAACATCGCTGCATTAAAAACTCATTTTTGAGCGGAACATCTAGGTGTTTGCTGAGTGTAGTTATTTTAATTTCATTTGTCTCTTGAAGATTCAAACCTTTCAGAAATGTAAGGACATACATGGCAGCATCCTTTTGAAGAACCTCTGGAATTGGGAGTGGCTACAACATCCCCAAAGGCATCTGCCTTTAATTAGGAGAGATTCCAGGTAGACAGCATATTCAATACTCCCTTCTTAGTAAAAGAGAGACAAGGATTAAATTCGTGATGTTTTCTAGTTGCTACAAATTTGTTTTTCCCTTTGGAAGTAAAACAATTCACAATGTAGAAATATAGTGGATAGAATTCTGGAGCAGGACACACCTCTATGCCTAATGGGAAATAGAGTAAGTACATATATATCCAATGACAATCATTGTGCTCTGTAATTGATGGGAAGTACTATAAATACACATTTAATAGATAATATTATCAAGACACATTTCCATATAAAATAGTAACTGCTTTTGATTTTTTTCCATAAACAAAAACTTATTTGTTAAAAATCCATTATCAATCACTTGCGACTTTAGCAGCAAGATTCCAGTAACTGAGATAGGTAATAGCACTTAAAACAGGAACAGTTGAACAGCTGACAGTCCATTCACAAGACAGACTCTGCAAACATTAAAGCATCTAAACACACAATAATGATTTCTTTAGCAGCTCTTCTAGTCATCCCTTGATGACAGATACCACTGAATATTACATACACACGTTCTGTGTGTCAGATAGACAACACAGACAAAACAAAATCCACCTTAGGCTGTGTGAGAAATGTATCATACCTCCATCAGCATAGGACCTTTAGAATAATTTGGGGGGTGCTTACAAATGCATTCATATACACAAAGGGCTGGCAATCTTGAACACATTGCCAAGTCTTCCATGATCCATGCCACAGGTTGGCTTCAGAGCAGCTTTCCTTCCATTGCAGGAAGCTTCTTAGAGAAGCCTCAAGTGGGTGATATGATTAATCACCCCAGAGATTGATGATCAGGAGAGTCTCCCAGGAATCACTGGACAGTTTCTGCTGAAAGTCTGCTCTCGTACAGGCAGAGAGCATGATGTAAAAATTCATACTGCTCACTGGTTTGTACCATTCCACCCCTGCAAAGAAAGAATGACAAAAAAATTTCATTTTGCTAACATCCTGCAATCTTGTAACCCCGAGACTATATTCAAGCTAGGATGTTATGCCAAAGACACACAGAATAGTTCCATCTAATGATTCTTTTATTATCCCTTCTACCTGTGTCCAAATGTCCTAATTTGTGGGATTCCTATGTTGATACAATCATGCACTGCACAATCACCTTGTAGCGTGATGCATTACCTGTGTGTTTGTGTGTTGCCAGTGTGAGCAAACCTACTGTGCTGCCTGTCATTCAAACATAGAGCATGTAAAATTATGTACAGTATGTAATACTTAATGATAATAAATGATTTAAATATTTAAATAAATATTTGCTGTACTATACTTTTTATTATTATTTTAGCATATACTCCTTCTGCTTATATAAAACACTTAACTATAAAACCTTATGCCATGTGATGCCAGCAGCAGATTCACACATCTCATGTTTACTGCATCTTTTGATTACATAATTTTCTCTAGTGCTTGATTTAATCTCATGTTTTGATCATTATGACCCTAGGAGCAATAATCCATTATATTTATTTATATATTTATATTTTATAAATTTATATTTTTATATGTGATAGAAATATATAAATATATTTATATATTATATGCAAATAAATATATAAATGTCATGTAGTCCAGGTGTCATGTAGTCCAGGTGTGCAAGAGGCTATGCCATCCAGGTTTGGGTAAGTACACTCTATGTTGTTTGCACAACAACATCACCTAATAACACATTTCTTAGAATGCATTCCCATCATTAAGCAATATATGATTGTATATATAAAGGGCTTAATACAGTGTCTTGTATATTAGGCATGTGGTTCATTTTAAATTTTATCTAAGTTCCATTACTGAGGAGGTGTTATAGCTTTATAAGTTAAATACTTGGACTTTGGAACCAGCCAAGCTGAGTTCAAGTCCATCCTCTGCCAATTCTTAGCTGTGTGAGTGTGCACAAATTCCTTAAAGCCTTTTGCACCTCAGTTTCCTCCTCTGTTAAAGCAAGAAAGTAACAGTAAGTTATAGCTAGAGTGTTATTCATGGGGACCTTATCATTCATCTTTTGTTAAAATAGATTGAAACTGATTGAAATAGGGTAACCAAACAACTCAGCTGTGAAATGCTGCTTTTTCTATGAGTAAAAGGAAAGACTACTGCAGAATGGCTTATTTGAGTATGCTAGAAGGAAACCTTTGGGTGTACTGGGCACCTAAGCACAATAGTGGTGGGTCCTTAGATGAACTGGAAAAGGGGATCTGGCTCTTGATTTTTCCTTTGTTGTGACCATACTTATCACTAGCTGCTCAGCATCCCCTTCATCACTGAATTAGTGGAAGGCAGTTGACTTCATCCTGCTTCTTTATACAATATTTACACCACACTTTCTCCTTATAATGATGGCCCTTTAGCTTGACAGAGTAATCACTGATATAAAGCTGACATATTTTTCCTGCTCAATGAATAGCAGAGTTATTGTTTGTAACTGTTTAAAGTCCTGCAAAGTCTCTGTAACTCTGCAGGCGTACAACTAATTTTATATTTTAGTTTAATTCTATGTTTTAGACAGTTTTTCCTCGGTGGCTGTCGGTATCATTCAAAATAATTTTCAGATCGTTTGAGCACTTCAACTTAAAAACTAGATACATTACCTCATTGTAATCTGACCTCGGGTTAATAGTAATGACTAAAACTGGTCTTGGATTTATGTTTACTTGTCAGCCTCTGTAAATATCAAATAGGTGAGACTTCACCCTTCTAAACTAAAGACCGATTCTTCACCCAGGTTCAACACGATGCCAACATGATGTATTTGGCAAGAATTGAAGAAGTAAATTTATAGTATTGAGTGACAGCAGCTTATTGGCAGACCTATTTCTTCTGTCACTTTCCCTAGAACTACATTTTTTAAAATTTGTAGATGGACACAATATCTTTATTTATGTATTTTTATGTGGTGCTGAGGATCGAACCCAGTGCCTCACATGTGCAAACGCTCTACCACTGAGCTACAAACAGTCCCAGGCCCTAGAACCACATCTTGTTGACCAAGTGTTCCTTGGTCAGAAGTTGACAACAGAAATGGCCAGCTGAGGATGTGCTCTTTCTTTTGTTAGCTTTATGATGACATCTGGGCACACCTAAAAACAGCAGGTGTCCGGAAGATGTTGGACTGGACTGTGAAACTTGGGAGACACAACCACAGTAAATATAGATCAGCTCCAGGGAGCTGGGGGCCCCTCCCTTCCTCTGGCATTTGCAAGGCTCAGGGATCCACTACTCCTGCCTTGAATGGACTTTGTATGTGCTCCATCTCTTAGATTCTGGTCTGTGAATATTCTTTTACCATTTACCTCCCTTTGAGGCACGGTTTTCCCTTTCTTGTATATCCTAGTCAACACCAGTATCTACATGTCCCACTGGTGGATGAACAGACACACAGGGTAGGTCTCAATAACCATTTTACCCTAAGTGGGTCAGCAGTGTGTTTTAATGGTTCAAACAGATTTTCTATGACATTCTATTAACTAAGTCAAAGTTGTTTTAGCCAGTGAAGGTGGGAGAGATGGGAAAACACTCATTAGTTCTAGGCAAGCAAAATTCTTGCAGATCTGAAGGCTTCAGGAAGGTATATGAGAAGCCCTACCAACTTCATTTGGAAAATAAAAATGAAGGAATTGGCATGCATTCCATTATTGACAAAATCTAGCTTTCCCAGAAGGAAACAGTTAATATGACAGATGGTCAGCCAGTTTCCACTGAAACGTTCTGAGACTGGCAGAAATGCTCTTGAAGATATCAAAATATCCCGTCCCTCTCTAACTTTCACCCCATTGGTCCAACTGAAATAACCCAGAAATGTCTTAAGGTTCCCCTTGTAGTCACACAATAGCTCTCTAAATGCTGGAAAACAACCATCAAAGTCCCATAATCTTTTCTTCTCTAGACTAAACATCCTGTGGTTACTCAATATTTCTGTACAGCCTGGTTTCCCTGTCACTCACCAATCTAGTCTCCTTCTTCTATAGGTTATTTTACCAAATATAACCTTCTTAGAATGTTGTCTCTTCTCCTGATAATATCTAGTCGGCCGGCATATTCACCCCCTTGA